TTTTGTGAGTTCACGTAGCATGCTTGACGTCAGCCCTGAAGTTAGAAACATTCATCTGCACGGTTCTGGGAGGTATCACTGTGCCCCAGACATTTTATAAAGCCTCCCTCATCAAAATCATATTCAATCAAATCTCAAGAAACATTTGCTAACATCACAGTTAAAAGGAGCTATTGGCCAAAGGACTAAACCTAAACACACCAAAAAGGTGAAACACTGGTTTCATTTTGAACAGAAATCTTCTGCAGGGGGACTTCTGCAAGCCGCCCATGCAATAAGCTATCGGAATGTCGCCTGTTCTCACCATCAAGGTCGTAGGTGCAAAGAAGGCAGGATGTTCCGCTCTCTTGAACTGGGAAGCCCAGGTTCTAGAAAGAGCTTCAGAGAGGCTTGAAGAGGAAAGGCAAGGTTTCTGTGTACAAGTTCTAAGATTTGAACAGCACAGCTCGGACCAATTTTGTTTTCAGATTCTCCAATCTCCGCCCCTCTGATGGATCGCCCCTGTGAAATCAAAGCCAGACTGGACCTCAGCTTCGAGCAATAAAACAACTTCAGGGTCTGGCTCTGATATCTGGAGAACTTGCAGCCTGAGACTCACCCAACATGGCCTCGCTGGGCTCTCGAAGGCAAATAGCCAAACGCATCTCCGTGTGCTCAGGTATTTCTCAGAGCCTCCCTGAGGAGGCTTGTGTCCTACGAGTGCCTTGGCCTAAGATCTATAGCAGGGAATGTTCAGTCCCTCTAAATGAGGCATGGAGGGACAGGGAAAACAGAGAAGCTCCTAAGTTAACATTTCATGACCTTAGAAATGCTACGTCTACTGGGTTTGAAAGCACTGGATAAATATTGGCTTATAGAAATTAAGAGTGACAAAGAACAGGGCCAGAGACCAGCCAATTTCTTTCTCTTTTTTTTTTTTAATTTTTTTTAATGTTTATTTATTTTTGAGAGAGACAGAGCATGAGCAGGGGAGGAGCAGACAGAGAGGGAGACACAGAATTAGAAGCAGGCTCCAGGCTCTAAGCTGTCAGCACAGTGCCCGATGCAGGGCTCGAACTCACAAACCGTGAGATCACGACCTGAGCCGAAGCCGGACACTCAACCGACTGAGACACTCAGGCGCCCTGAGACCAGCCGATTTCAGTAAGAGCAAACGGAATAACATTTGCTGAGTGCTTCTGTTCCCGTATCTATTAATATTTATTCAGTGCCCACTATGTGCCAGAAACTGTTCTGAAAGACTCACAGGTGAGGGAGAGAATGAAGGCCCTGCTCTCATGGCAGCCGTATTTTAACCTAATGGAGTTCACATTTTCTTCACAATTCGTACACAAAAAACACATGCACACATGCTGTAATTCCAAGTACTGAGAAGCACTAGGAAGCAAGATAACACAGGATGAAGAAAGGGCAATCTGGAGAGTGAGAACAAATCCCACATTCTCTGGGAGGGAACGAACCCTAATTTGCTCAGCTGGAGTCAGAAGCCAAGTCTGGGACCAAACCACTGTGGCCAGGAGGGTGGGGACAGTGTCTGAACCTGACTGCTGAGGGCCCACCACACAGCCTGCAGAGGGAGGAGGGAGATGTTGGGCTGTCCCCCCACTCCGCCCCCAGGTTCAGAGCCACTGGTCCTGGTCTGAAGGCAGGCAGAGGTCAGCCTCCAAGAGATCACGGGGCAGTGGAGGACGCAAACGGAACTGTGGGAGAGGCCGGCAGGCAGCGTCCTGGGTACACAAAGCCCGAGGGCTGCGGCCCATCAGTCAGTCTAACCGGGAAGTGCCAACAGGCACAGAGACACAAGTCTCTAGCAGAGACTTGGCCTCAGTTGTCATCCGGCCACAATGAGAATAAAATGAAGTCTTAGATCAAATGACTTACACCGGAGTCTGAAACGCAGAAGTTCGCAAGGAAGTTTGGCTGTCAAAATTGGAACGACTAACTGACCTTTTCTCTCCCAGAGTTCATGATCTCATTCATCCCTGAGCACCCGCTATTTTGTCAATTACTCTGTGAGGTGCTTTGCATTTGTGAACTCGATCCCCCAAGCCCCTTTAAGTAGACGCCATGAGGCTCCTGTGGTTAAGTGAGGAAGCCAGCTTGCCCAAGATCCACAGCAAGTCAGCTGGGAGCACCGCGGGCCGGCTTGCCCAGGAGCCTGGCTCACCAGCGCCGCACAAAAAACACAATATAGCTTCAACTCTTAACAGTAAAGTCATACACGCTTTTCGAAGACCAACTAAAACACTTTACAACAAAACGTGCCTTACTCCAGGCTTATATTCTTATAGAAGTAATAACATTTTTCAAGAAAAAGTTCTTGAATAATTAGTCAACTCCTGCACTGGGACAGTCTTTACGTACTAAGACGCACTGGAAACCAAATTCATTCCTGCTTTGTGTGCATCACAGGTCAGCTGAGGGCTCTGCTTACGGCTTCCGCTCTCAGGGCGGGACACGGGAGCATTCTGGATCTGAGTGGCAGGGGAAAGGGAACTCGTGAGTGTCCCTCCAGCAGTAAGTGGTCTGGCCTGGAAATGATGCACTTGACTTCCACCACCTCCCTTCGTGAAAGAATTACTCTCTTGGAAGAGGTATTAAAGTCTTCCACCTCAACAAGCAGCAGATAGTACAGTATTATACTAACTGGAGGATCAGTATCTTAAAAACTCAAATAGTTTAAAGTAACTCCTAAAGGTACTTAACTGACTCCCAAAGAGCAGAATACAGGACCTAACAAAATATTGTTCTTGTATATGTATGGCTGGAAATCACATAAATGAGACTATGTTCTTGGAAGAAAGGAAATAAGTAAAGTGAAATGAGTAACAGTAATAATCATACTTTCATATCATATATATCATAGTTACAGATTTTATTTTCATAGTATCTTCCCACTGAAGCAATAATCTACATTTCCGTAACAACACATTTAATGTTTTCTCATCAAAGAACTGGAAAAAATAGGAAGGAAGCACAGATTCCATACACAAATACCATACATACTCTATGTACAAACAAATTCAATATATTAAATAGATTTGTAGATCGACTTCACTTACAATATAATAGAACACTGAGTATTCAATTCTGAGCATACTCATGCAGACTTCCACTTTGGTAAAAGTGATGGCGCGAGCTCTGCAAAAGGTTTTCCTGTTGTTGTAAACACACGTTTCCCACTTCGGACCACACTCAGGATACAGACTTCCGTGCGTGGAACACTAAACTGCATGAGGATGGAACAAGGGCTCTTTCCTGGACACCACAGCGTGCGTCCTGCACGTCAGTCCCTGAGCGTGGGCAGGGAGGGGGAAGGAGGCTGCACTTGGAAGAAACAGAGCCTTTTACGTTGCTAAGGGTCAGCTGCCCTGCGGATGCAGAATGCACTGAATCACTCCTCGTTTTTAGAATGTAAAAGTTACCGATTTTTCCAAGGCTGCAATGGGTAATATGGTCTTTAAACAAATAGTCTAAAGTATCTTTTAAGTGCTGCCAAATCTGTTTAGACAGATGGTGACTTAGCTCACAGGAGCGTTAGTATGAGGCTCCCGAAGTTTCCAACTAGATCTAAAGGGCACAGCAGCAATGGAGGGATCTTGGCAGCATTCTAGTATGTCCTTCAGTACAAATGTCTAAGTGCAGCTTTACTGAGATTGTTCAAAGTTAATCTCCATACAGTCAGTGAAAATGGGCTGCTACCAGAACTAGGAGAGCAACTTGGGGAATCCAAACATTGTATTTGTTAGTATTTTAAATAGGGTCTTCAATAAATCTGTCTCCCCTCCCACCCACCCCCACCCAAGAGCACCTGCCACATGAAGATAACGTCCTGGCTAAGCCCTCCTCTCCCTCGGCTAAAACCATGGCTAAACACCACACATCGTGATGGATCGGCCCTGGGGTCTTCAGGGAGCAGCAAACAGACACACGCTGCACTCGCATGAGGCCAGGCTCTGTGAAGACAGGACACGCGGACAGGAAACCACCCTGCCCGCAGAAGGCACCCTGCTGCTGACCGGTGCCTCTTTCCGCTTAGCAGACTGGGAGACAGAGGTGAAAAAGGAATGCTTCAAAAATAATCTCTTAGGAATACCCACCAGGACTAAAATGCTGGCAGTCAGTCCTTTAAACAGAAGTACTTCAGAAACCATTCTTCCCTCTCAGCTAAATGTCTATGGTATACGGCATTCCCACGTCTAGTTACCGTCCGGTTACAGCTCTAAGTGAATCGAAAATTATTTTGGAGGGAAGAAATGTTCTAGACTGCTGGGAATTAGAATGCATAAAAACAGTCCTCATTAATTCCCATTTAGTCAAAACCAAGTGGATTTGGGGAGAGCCGCTGTGTTTTTTTAGGTGGAAAAAATGCATTTCAAAGAGGAGCTAAATATGCCTTCAAAGGATTCAATTTACGTGTAAGACTTTAAATGTACCTTTCATTGGGCTAAACAATATTGTAAGGCTCAAAATAGCATCCTGTCCCAGTCTTGCCTTGGAAAAGACTTAGATTTAATAATTTAAATGTATCTGATATCACTGGGGATAAATCTCCTTTTCAAAACAAAAGTTTAAAATACTGCTTTGTTTAACCAGTAAACTTTACTTTTAGCAGCAATGATTAAATAAAATGCAAAGAAAATTCTCTAACAATAAATTAAAAAAGCCCAAGAGAAAAGAATTTCTATGTCTACTGTCCCTTTTGTTTAGAACATCATTTATGGCTTGCAAATTTCAAAATCAACTGTATTAAAATGTGACAATACATTTACCTGTTCATTCTTGCTGGGTGTCTTAGAAAGGCTCTTATGGAAAGAAAAAAAAAAAAGTTCTCAGGTAGTGGGTACAATGGGTGACTTCGCAAAATGATGACTAAAGATGAGTCTTTATTAGCATTTTCAAAACCATGACTGCAGTGAAGTCTGGATCCCCTTAGACAAGGTCCAAGTCCATGAACGGCACGTCAGAAATTTCCTCTTCCTTTCCGCGGAGCCAAGACCCTAGCACAGGCCTCCAGCGTACTCGTCCTCGTCTTCCTCGGTGGCAGGGGCAGTGGCGCCTTCAGACTTAGCCTGTGGTGCTGCAGATTTCTTCTTGATTCCCCCTCCTGGAACCACCAAACTCAGGCCCAGCTTAGCATACTGTCAACGACAAAACATGTTCTCAGGAGCTGGATGACCAGAATCTCAGTGTGCCACGTGTCAACAGTAGTTATCTATACGAGACAGATCTTAGTTCTCTACCAATACTACCATTTAGATGGACGGACACCCACAGCACAACCCACACTGCTCTGCCAGCGGATGGCTCATGACCGTGACGTGACAGGTACGCAACCAGTAAAAACATCAGTTCTCTGCCACACCTAGGAATCTGAGATCATTGGGACCCGCTAAGTAATACTGGCAGGTACCTACAAAATAAAGATCTGTGCAGTAAATGAGAAGTTAAGCTAGAGACAAATTCTTCAAAAATCATCAAACTTACAAAAACCTACAGAAGAATTTATCAAGAAAAAAACCTATATACATCATTACAAAAAAACGAAGGTCTTAAGCTGCTCTAATATCAAATCAAATGAACAGGGGCTCATCAATCTACTGAAAAGGGAAGCACACAAGGGAGACCCACAGACACGGCTCGCGCTCTGTATACGGCACTGTGCGAGGCTGTTTCCCACGTACATATCTATTCTTCGAGACAGGTGGGCAAGACAGGGACCTGCTGCTCCATTCATACAGATGAGTTAAGTGAGGCTTCCAGAGTTCAGGAGTTCAGTAATACCCCGTGTCACACAACCAGCTGTCACGGAAGTGGGCCTCCGACAAGGCCCCTGAATTACAAAGGCCACTACCTGAAGAGCCTCTTTCGGTGAAGCCTAAAAGAAAACTCAAACTAAGCAACCTACAGAGGTCTACGGGAGGAAGGCAAAGCTGAGAACTGGAACCGAATTAAAAACTACAGATATGGTCAACAGTTAGAAGGCTAGATAAATGGCTGTGAACCCACATGGCTGACATCTCAACAGTCTCAGACTATGGTGAAATTCAGGGCAACTGCCGCATTCCTTGTCGGGCAGTAGCCGGAGGTGAAAAATAGAGGGGGAACATCTCACACGCCCACAGGAGAAAAATGATCTCACTAGAAGCCTCCACCTTTGAAGGGGAAAGAAAAGAGGCCACTTACATCATTGTCCATGTACTTGAAAAGGGGCGAGTTGCAGACCTCCGACACTTGGTCTTGGTCTTGCTGGTCATAGCCTTCAAGGAGCTGCTCCAGGGCGGCGCAGTCCTCACTCCCACTGAACCCTGGAATGCTGCGGCAAGCACGAGTCACACGTCTCCACCTGCCCCCCCGCCATCCTGCCCCCCAGCAAATGTTTGGCAATATCTGGAGACATTTTTGTTAACAAGTGGGTGGCGGCCTGGGATGCCCCAGACGCCCCACAAGGTACAGGACAGGCCAGACAGCAAGGAATTACGTATGCGCCCCAAAATGTCAGCACTGCCCAGGCTGAGACCACTCATTTGAACTACCTTCAGTAAGACATGATCCTCCTGTAACATATAATCTGAGAACATTTCTTTACTCCTTTTTTTGTTGTTCTTTTTTCTTAGAAGGCAAACAGAACAAAATCATTGAAGTCATTCACTCCCACGAAATCCCCAGGAGAAAAACACAGGGAAGATCCGAACTTGTCAAAATCCTGCTGAAGTGGTTAGGGAAGTCCCCCCACCACTATGAAATGTATTAAAAACCAAAAATGGCTTCAGGACCAATAGCAGCTGTCTAAGCAGTGGTCTGACACTGAGAACTACAGACGTTAACACTGCACATCCGGGCAGCGCTGCCTCCGTCTTCTTACCTGTAGCTCTCTCTGACGCACCTCTCCGCGGCCACGTAGTCACTCCTGTGCAGGTGAACTAAGACTTGAGCGATTGTCTTCTAAAACAGAAGAGGTGATTACGGCCCAAATTTACATCTGTTTAGCAAAGTCAATCCCCTGACATCTGGAGTCATATGGAGACTTATAAATTCTTAGTAGCTTCCACAGGACGCGTGAAGGAAAACACACAACGGTACAGGTCAAACTGTACTGTGCCCACGAGCCACGCAGGGTCTTGCTAAATGAAGGCTGATTTAGGGGGTCCGAGGCAAGCCTGCAATCCCGCTTGCTCCCAGGTGTCCCAACACTGTCAGTCTGAGGACCACACTGAATAATACAACTTAGAACACAACTACCACACGCTGTAAGAAAACATCTCTTAGGTATCTACATAGGCTCAATCTTGAAAAAGGAATGAAAAAGAGGGGAGACCTGTGACGCCACAATAATACTCTGGAATTCTTAGACAGTAGGAAAAAGACAAATGAATGAATAAAAACTTTAGGTAATAGGAACAATACTATCTATAAGCCCACAAAAGCATCATTAAGACCAAAGATATGACTGATAAGATCTTATTGGCAGAACGGCTCTTCAAAACGGGTTTTTCAATTTTTTTCCGTTCTTCAGACAACTTTTACTGATCCATCTTTAAATTCAGTGTATCTTTTATCATCTCCATTATCAGATTAAGTTCATACAATATTTACTGCAGACATTGCCTTTTCAGTTCCAAAATTCTCATTTAGCTCATCTTTAGTTTTTATTGAAAGAAAGAAAGAAAGAAAGAAAGAAAGAAAGAAAGAAAGAAAGAAAGAAAGAAAGAAGGAAGGAAGGAAGGAAGGAAGGAAAGAAGGAAAGAAAGAAAGAAAGAAAGAAAGAAAGAAAGAAAGAAAGAAAGAAAGAAAGAAAGAAAAAGAAGAGGAAACAACAGTCCTTTTGTCCATTCATCTGTTTGCCTTTCCACCTCATGGGCCAGTTGCAACAGCTGCTTCAAAGTTGTGAAGTTGTGGGGGCGCCTGGGTGGCTCAGTCAGTTGGGCGTCTGACTTCGGCTCAGGTCAAGGCCTCATGGTTTGTGAGTTCGAGCAATGCGTTGGGCTCTGTGCTGACAGCTCAGAGGCTGGAGCCTGTCCTCGGATTCTGTGTCTCCCTCTCTCTCTCTCTCTCTGTCCCTCCCCTGCTTGCACTGTCTCTCTCTCTCAAAAATAAATAAAACATTAAAAAAAAAAAAAAAAGGTTGGGAAGTTGTGACCTGGTAATTCCAACATCTGGGGCACCTCTGGGTGGGCGTCCACTGTCTTCTCTTGAAAACTGGCCGACTTCCTGGCTCCTTCTGTGTGGAGCGCTTTGGGGCTGTATCCTGGACACTGTGGATGTTATGCTGCATAGACTCTCCAAGAATTCTCAGGAGAGCATGGATGCTTTCAGCAGGCAATACCGCAGGCAGGCTCAGACTGCAGGTTCCGTCTGTGGCTGGCGGGCAGCGGCTCTCGTCTTCGGCGCCTCTGCCCTGCCGCTGCGGCTCAGCCCCAAGCAAGAGTCCTGCCAGGGTGCTGTGGGCCCTGGACAGTGGTCAAATCTTACTTCAGCTCCCAAAGCCTATGCCCTGCTGCTCTGGGTCTGTCCGGCACATGCGGAGCTGGAGAGTAAACCCAGGACTTGTGTGGGCGCCTGCTCACACCCACACTCGGGATTCCCTTCTCCTTCCTGGGCGTTCTACCTTGCTCTTAGCTCATCGTCCCAGCTCCTCTGGCCAAAGAGACTGATAAGCCTCTTGTGGTGTTTCATCTGCCTGCACCATCATCACAGCCGTTGCCATGACTAGGACTCACCCTCAGAACAAAGCCATGGGAGAAACACGGGATAGATGGGTCCCTCCAGTTAGAAACACGGGGTTGATGGGTTTTAGCTGCTGGAGCCTCTGCTGCCGAGCTCCAGGACTGGGGGCCTCTCTCCAGCAATGCCACAAGAAAAATAGGGAAAACTCTGGAAACCATCTCCTGTACTGGCTGCCTGTCCAAGTGCTTACTCACCCCCTGCTTTTATTTTTCAGAGTCCAGGAATTTTTATATTTTGTCCAGAAGTTTTAGCTGTAATAAGCAGGAGAGACAGACTATAGGGGGCTTACTCCATCTTGCCCAAAATTATTTTTAAAAATATCCATGGAATCCAGTCCTAGGTACACAGTTACACCAATATGAAAAATTAACAAATATAAAGCCAAAATAAGCACTTTCAAAGCATACCTTATAACAAGTTGGATAATTCTCAATCTCCTTATAAATATTTTTTTCTTTCTGAATAGAAAGTGCTGCCTCATCAAACCTAAAGACAAAACAAAGAAATGTCAAACAAGGCAGCTCTAAATGACCTAAAGGGAAGATCGCCTTTGTATTTGATAGCACAGACTTTAGCGAAAATAACACATAAAGCACTTTTAGCTCAGTAACCCAGTTTCCATGAGCTCTGCACATCTGGCTTATGTTTTTGTTTGTTTTTTAATGTTTATTTATTTTTGAGAGACAGAGACAGAGCACAAGCAGGCTCCAAGCTCTGAGCTGTCAGCATAGAGCCCGATGTGGGGCTCGAACTCATGAACGGCGAGATCATGACCTGAGCCGAAGTCGGATGCCTAACCGACTGAGCCACCCAGGCGCCCCATGGCTTATCTTTGAAACACTCCACTCACCCGTTCAGGCATCAAGCAGACAGACAAAAAGCAGCACGTAAGGATAAGTTACTTCAAACAGAGAAGTTTAAGTCTGGTAAAGATCACCCATTAATGAGCCATCTATCCAATTCAACAAACTGCTCTGTGAATTTCCGTGAAAAGCATTAGACAAGCCCTGATTTAATCACCCCAGAGTTCTTTCCTTCCACTAAGGCCATCCAGACACCCCAAGGGCAGTGCCTCACAGCTGGAGAGTTCTTTCCCCAACTCTGTCCTCACCACCACATGCTCCACTGCTGCTCAGTGAGCCAGAAAAAATGTCCCTTTCGTCCTCACCATTCACCGGTTTCAATGAACTCTCATCCGTTTTCCTTTTCTTCCATTCCATGAAGAAATGAAGGGGAAAGGCACTGCTAACACTGTTCCCCCGAATCCTCCAAGGCCCTCGCCCTTCCCATTCTGCAGCCTCAATCCCAGCACACCGTACACAGCTCCTCGTCTCTTTCTACAGGCGTACCATGGCCCCGTCCTGGGACTCCCTTCCTGGCACCTAACCCGTGCCTCAAGAAAGTGTGCAGGCCTCACCCCAAAAGCCAAAAGGGCAAGCAGTCTGCACTGTTTGGATGCAGAGGCAAAGAGCTGTTTCGTAACCCAAATTAACATATAAAAATGTTAACAATTATCTTTTAAAAAAGGTAATTTTAAAATTATGCCTGAATAGTTGAGTCGCATATGCGTGCACACACCACACACACACAGTATTGGCTTGGTTTAATTCTTATAAATTAAATTGAATTTCTGTGGGCCTTACCCTGGCAACTTAATACCTCATACAATAAGAGCACCTGTTGGGATGAGCAGTGGGCGTTGTATGTAAGCGATGAACCACAGGAATCTACCCCCAAAAACCAAGAGCACACTTTACACACTGTATGTTAGCCAATCTGACAATAAATTAAATAAATTAAAAAAAATAAGGCTAACTGGACAAATAATTCTGAATTTCTTAAGCCCAACTTGATAAATCTGGGGAACAAAGCCAGTTTATAAATTGCACATGGTAGCAGAATTCTAAGACTGTTCCCCAAGATTCTTGCTCCTTATATATATCCTTATGTAGTCTTCCCTTGAATGTGGGCATGACCTCTGAATATGATAGAACTCACTCCTATGAGGAGTGACTCAGTGACTAATCAACTGACTTTGAGTGAAGCAGAGAGATTGTCTGGATGGGCCTGACCTAATCAGAAGAGCTCTTAAAAGGTCAGAGATTGAAGTCAAGAGACATGCTCTCACCAACCTTGAAGAAGCCACAGAACTACTATCTTGTGAACCGTCCAGAGGGCACATGCCAAGGAACTATGGGTACATTTAGAGCTGAGGACTGCCCCCAGGCCAACGACTAACAAGAAAATATGGGTGTGCGTCCTACAGCCACAAGGAAAGGAATCCTGCCGACAGCCAATGAGCCCAGAATGACTTCACAGCCATACTGGACACTTCATTCCAGCCTAATGAGACTCTGAGCACAGGACCCAGCTATACTGGAGCTGGACTTCTAACCTGCAGAACTGTGAGACAATGAATGAGTGACTGTTGTTTTAAGCTGCTGGGTTTGTGGTTACTTGTCATATAGAAAAGGAAATTAATATGCTGGGTAACATACATTTGTATCATTTGTAATTACGACATGAGCTTATCCCAGATCCTGTTTTATAAAACATATTACATCAGGACATTCGGTGAACATCACACCAGATTACACCACTCTAGTAGGAATCTTAACATTTTAAGTTTTTCATATATTTAACGATAAAGGCTGTATTCTTCACACGTGACTCACTTATCTCCTTGGCATAAAAACAGCATTTCCATGTGCTAACAGCTAGTTAGCAAAACAGCCATCTAAGAGAAATACTGTTTATGTGTGATTTAAAAAAATGATCAACTTGGCTAAAAGTCCATGAAACTGACATATAAAGCCAACTGTTTTCAAATGTATCCAGGAATTATTCATAAATTATAATGGAACATGGAGGTAATTCTTAATACTCCTAACAAAACAAAATGCATCTGGTTTTGCTGAAAAGAGAATAAACTGTTTTTGATCTTCCTACAATTCAAAAATAAAATAAAATGTAAGCCCCACAAAAATTATGTGCATACGGCAGGAAATTGTCACAGGACTTCACTCAACCCAGTTTTCAATGGACATCTATCTCCCTCACAATAACTCAAAACCCCTCCACAGCCTCCTGAAATCCAGAACGTATTTTTAACTACCTACAAAACTTTCAGCCAATTCATCACATTGCCAACTAAGCTTAATATCACCCTAATAAACCTTGGCATCACAACGGACAGGACAAGGACAGGAAACTAGTTATGTTCAACTAGTACCTACCCCACATGCACACACCCAGTTCTCCCTGTGTTTATAATCTAGTGACTGTCTCAGCCACCAGGGGAGAGTCTGAGAGAGAGCCTTAGAAGTGGGGAGTCAGGTAGTGGTGGGGGTGGTTAATTGATACAGAAGTCAGATTATTCTCCTCACCGAGAATTATGACAAAGCTCTGGAAAGCACTCTGACTTGGTTCACTGAGCACCAACCACACAGTGTTACCAACCAGCTCAGCTGCCTCAGAACTTCTCTGGAAGGCACAGGAATGGTCTGTTAAGTCAAACCAACTGGAAGGGCCTGTTCAGGGAGGGGACATGGGCACTGGTGTGGACGGATTTAAGGCCTCACAGATGGAACCTAAATGAACTCTGACTCACTTCTGAATTATGGCTCTCCAGAAATGTAGGAAGAGCACGAGACTAATACCAATATATATATATTTTTTTTTTTCAACGTTTATTTATTTTTGGGACAGAGAGAGACAGAGCATGAACGGGGGAGGGGCAGAGAGAGAGGGAGACACAGAATCGGAAACAGGCTCCAGGCCCTGAGCCATCAGCCCAGAGCCCGACGCGGGGCTCGAACTCACAGACCGCGAGATCGTGACCTGGCTGAAGTCGGACGCTTAACCGACTGCGCCACCCAGGCGCCCCTAATACCAATATATTAAACAGGATATTTAATGTCACTATACTTAGAAACTACTGTTAAGTTATGACTAAATATTACAGAATCACATTAATATAAAAATATATTATTCTAAATATAACAAACATAAAATTTAAAATTGCAAGCTATACTCTATTAGATGCTCTTTCCAACATTATATAAAATTACTATTTTAGTTCTTTTGGACAACTGACAGCCCCAATTGAGATTAGAATCAAAGTATATATTCAAAATACTCAAATATCACATAAATTCGCACAGCTATCTTTTTTTAACATCTATCCTCCAGGTTTTTCTCATCCCATACTACTGAAATTCTGACGGCAGTACTGTGACAGCTGACTTGTAACTCTTTCATACTATCCATACCCAGGGATAGTTTTCAAAACATCAAATTCCTTACCACTCCTGAATAAATTCAAATCAATCTTTATGTTCTTATAAAACTTAAAGAAAGTATTTCCATAAAATTTTTGTTCAAGATACTACATAAAATACTATTTTTCAATGCACCTTTACTAAAAAGGAAGAAAAAAAGCAATAAAACATTCATGAAGTAAATAAAAGACATACTGGCTGCCCTAGACATATAAATGTCCTCCTTCCAGCATCTCCATACCACTTTCTCGGACTGTGAAGAAAACTCCGTATTTGTTCTAGAATAATGGTTCTCATCACACACGCTACAGCTGACTAGTAACTTCTGGGAATGGTGGTGGCTACTGCTCGGCCGGGGACCATGTACATGTAGCTAGAAAAGGCTGCTCAGCTGCCCTCCTGGGGAGCTCCTCCTGGCCCCCTCCTTCCCTTTGCTCCACCCCCTAGAAACCAGCTTTAGATAATCTCAGTCTGGACAACAGGTGAGCAGATGTGAAAGCAGAAATACCCTGGGGAGACTGAAGCAGCGCGCACTCGTGCCCAGAGCAGGCCTGACTTTCTGTCCCTAGCTCCAACTTCGCTTCGGATGCCTTCAGTGGTTAAGGGACCTCGGTCGGGCCTTAAGAAGGCTCTGGAGGTCTGCGGGAGGACTGTCAGGGAGTGGATGAGAAGAGGACAAAGTATGCCAGAGCATGCCTGTCTGCCCTGGGATGAGAAGAGTCCAGGGCACCGTTGCCTGTCTCTCCAAGTGCGAGGCTCTGCTCAGAGAATCAGAATCCAGGTACACTTCAGCTATGCTGCACCACCTGGGACCATCACCACAGACAGCTCTGTTTCTATAAGAAACCCTTTCAGGGACTGACCTCAACTTATTATATCACCGTTTATAAGTTGGGAATCGTTGGAGTTAGCATTCCAGTTGTTTGGATCTCTAGGAAGCTTAGATAAGTAAAATGAATAAATGTAATGACCCAAGGCTTATGTATATGTTAAGTTTTGCCTCACGGTTTAATACAAAACTCTTAATTTAAAATCACAACAAAAATACTACGCCGTTTAGCCCAACAAAAAAATCCTAATCAATGAAAGAAGGTCCTATAAAGTAGTATACCTAAATGAAAACACACCAAAGTTATTAATTCTATATTAATTTATTCCGATGCTACTTTAAACCTGTTTGAATTATATTTTACAATCTATTGTCTTCATGAAGAAAACATTTAATTCAGTCTCAGAAAAAGGTCAACTGATTCTTTAGTCATTTGTTTTTTGATTCCTTCACAGAATAGATCTTGGGTCTTTTCTGTCACGAGGGAAGTAGGGGCAAATTTTAATGAGGTTATCTACCTTCAGATTTACAGTTTTCTAAGTGCGTTCATCTTAAATAGTACTAAACAGTGTCTTGGCAAACAATTTTATTAATGACAGAGAGTGCCTACTAAGCTTAAATTAAGGTAAATGAATAAAAATAAAGGAAAATCCAGTAGCATTCTAGGTTTCTGGGGTCCAGCTATTTATGCATTAAGTCATATGTTTAAAGGATAAAAAAGCAAATACCCTATTTAATGACAATATTTGACTGTCAAGAACTGGTCAATTTCCCTGGGTGAACATTGGGGGATCTTGTTATTTATGCCTGTACAGCAATTTCTCCTCAAGAGAAACACGTTATAACCCAACCAAATAACGTATCAAGACAACTGCTCTCCCACACTGCTGAGCCAGGTTTTAACCAATGAAACCACAATGCATGATACATTTTGGCATCAGATTTACAAAAACAGCAGATCTTTTAATATTTAATTCCATGTTCCATCTTGTAGACATTACTCTTTCTACTCGGTGGCCTGGTGTGCCTGTGGCTTACACCAAATAGATTAACAAGCCATTCCCGACGTTACTTAACGCTTCCAAATGTGGACTGAAGGTTTACATGGACACACAGCAACACAGTTTTGGAAATCTTACCTGCGTCCTCGGACCAGCAGTCTGGAGGCTTTTCCTAGTAATTCAACTGCCTGTCGTAAGCGTTCCTCATTCTGAAGGAGTCAGAGAAAAGAGACAGTTGGCTGCTTTAATCTAGGAATCTTCTTTTCCTCCCAATAATTATTTGATAAGAAAGTAACAGCACTCAAAGTGGGCAGGGGGAAAATGCCAAAGCTGTTAATCCATTTTATTAACTGTCTAATAAAAAACTACAGTTCAACTGTGAGCACAGAAAACTTTAAAAGCAGTCACTGCATTTCTCTATTTTCCTACAGAAAATGAGCCTAAACATTCTAAGTATACTTAAAGGAAAAAAGTAAAATTCAGACTTACTTCGAACACATTTGCTGTCTGTTGATATAACTGTACAGCCTTTTCTGGATCTACATTTTCTATAAGCCTATGAGACAAGAAAATTGGACTCCTATGAGAGATAGAAAACTTGTTTTTCCAAGGACTTTATTAAGACAAAAAGCCAATGGCTCCTATGCAGACTTGTGTTCCACACACTCACTTTCCAGCGCGTTCCAAGGCCATGGCTGCCGTGTCAGGGGTGCCGTTTTCCAGATACATCATGCTGGCTTTCTCAATCAGCTGAACGGCCTCTGGTAGTTTCTGCATCTCCTTTAGGCAAAGGATAAATGCATCAGCTTAAGCACAGAATTAACAATCAGAAATTCATTTTATTCCTTATTCATGAAAAGTACAATTTATTAATTTTAACGTTTGAATACATTATACAACAGATAGATTTAAGATGAAATGCCTTCACGTGGTTACTCTCCCCCATCAAGTTCATTCTGCCAAACTAAAAACGTTATCAGTTGAGTTCTACAGAGTTCATCACCACTTCAGAGTTTCAGAAAAGCTCTACCAACGGTAGAAACCAAAACCCTTGCTCTTGACTGTTTTGTAGGATTTATAATTCTCTGAACACTTACTGAGTCCCTACCAGCTGCGAAGCCTATGCCAAAGGCTGCAAACCAGCAGCTCAAGGGCTGTACCTCATTTCCAAGTGCATCTTGCTTGAACCATTCAGTAGTTTTAAATCAGAAACTTTCACAAAGGTTCTGTTTTACAGCTTCCTATTTTAAAAAAGTATCACAAGCTCTGGCGTCAGCAGGTTTTCATTCCCACGTGGCAGGAGTGGGTTGAGGCTGAGCGGATGTCCCGGGAGGCGTGGCGTCTCCTGCAGTGGCCTCCTCTCTCCGCACTCCCCTCCACACTCCCTGCTGTCCTATACGCCCAGGCCTGCCTCAGTCCCCACTGCCCTGGGCTCATCAGGGTCTGCAGCCCTTTTTCACAATGAGTGCCACCAACAGGTTAACTCCATGCCTCACTAGGAGATCATAGGTCTCAGCATCCTGTGGTCCTTACATCTATTATCTCCAAATCTAAACTCTTTTAGAAACAGAACAATAATCATTTACAAGCCAGATATAAGGTTTATGTGGCATCGTCCTACTTAGGGTTGACATCCTTAGATCTTAAAGTAGGCTCCATGCAGACGTTTCATGGGTTGTTTTCAAATCTGCCTGTTCAGTCACTCACTAAGTTGGCAAATTCTTTAGGATACAAAACCTGTTGGTCTCATTCTTACTGATGTCCAAATATAACTTTTTCATTCTTTAGCTAAGGAATAAACAAGGATAGGCTGCCATCTGAAAAGTTACACTATTTTATACTCTTCCCCATGTTCTTGTAGCATGGCAAAATCGAAAGGAAAATAAAAGCATGCTTATTTTCAGCGGTTTTGTGCCTGAGTCACCCTACTGCTTTTGTTCCACAGAAGATATGAAATCTAACAGTCGTACAATGACAGAACCAGGGGCGACTCCAGTAAGTGGTGTCTTCCACTCGGCATCCTTCCACATATTGTCACTTCCTAAGCCTTGCTGGCAGATGATTACAAAGGTCTGTATGAATGGAAATTTCAACCCACGGAATTAACACTGAGCCAAGCAGCTCAGGACCCCTAATGCTGCTAAGGACTGTCCAAAGGCATTTAATTTAAATACAAGAGCATGGCAGAAAGCATTTTCTCTTGTCTTTTCCCCTACCTACTAGGTTTATTTTTCCTTCATTCAAAGCAGTGCCTTCAAATCCTCAAATTAAACCAATACTACCACAACGGAAATGATGTCAAAATAATATCTTTTTATGAAGACTCAAGTCTTAGCCCAGCTGTTAGAATATAAACTGAAGCTGTGAGGATTATAAATTATAGTGGTCTAGCATTTCTGTATTAAGAGAGTGGATCCTAATAATAGCCACAAATGAGATGACACGAGCCACCTGGGAGCTTCCTATTTCTCAGGGGGACCTGGGACAGCAGAAGGTCAGGGCAGACACCCAGCTCCTTCGGCTACAAGAGAAATTCTAGTTGCTAAGAAACTGCTGATAACCTGACCTGCATCACCAAATCTGGTTGCAGGTTTTATCCAGAAAAGCTTTACTACAATGGCAACGTAACAGTTTATCACAAGGAAGCACCATAATTTATTTAAATATCTTATTATTAAAAATTTAGATAACTGCCATTTTTCTTAAGCAATATATAATAAACATTTTTACACATAAATCTTTGCTATCTGTCTCTTTACAACAGAGTCACAGAATTGGAATTCCTAGGTCAAAGGATATGGAAATTCTTAAAGCCCGTGATATATATTTTGAAAGTAATTTTTTAAATGGCATGAAAAAGAAAATCTGCATGAAAAAGTTAAATGTAAATAGTAAGATACGTATGTACTTAGAAAAATGACTAAAAGAAAAAAATAAACTCATTACTAACGCTTTTTGGTCCTTCCAGTTTCTAAATGTTCTACAATGAGCATGTATTCCTTAAAAAATCAGTAAGATTATAAAAGTCATTAAAATTAAAAAAAATAGGGGCGCCTGGGTGGCGCAGTCGGTTAAGCGTCCGACTTCAGCCAGGTCACGATCTCGCGGTCCGGGAGTTCGAGCCCCGCGTCAGGCTCTGGGCTGATGGCTCAGAGCCTGGAGCCTGTTTCCGATTCTGTGTCTCCCTCTCTCTCTGCCCCTCCCCCGTTCATGCTCTGTCTCTCTCTGTCCCAAAAATAAATAAACGTTGAAAAAAAAAATTTAAAAAAATAAAAAAAAATAGTTTTACTAAAGCATGAGTTCTTAAAGCTTCATAATAATTCAAACAGCTTTTACTGTATTAGGAAACATAAAAATGGAAAGGAAATGTTCTATGTCAACTGCTACTTGGCATGCTTTGTAAGTGTCATAAAGTAACATGTTTTTTCTCACCACAACAGTGTATTACTTCCCAACCTGCTTTAATGAGGCAGAAATATGAAAAGCGGCACAAGCACATTAGCCAACTATTCCATTCAACAAGAATCAGAATTAAGTATCAATTGCTTAAGTCTAAGGTTCTTTTCAATGCCAGCTTTTATAAAACAAGCAAAACTCTCCTTTCTAAAACCCAAGAGTGGGGTGCCTGGATGTCTCAGTCCGTTAAGTGTCTGACTTTCGCTGTTCATGAGTTCAAGTCCCGTGTCGGACTCTGTGCTGACAGAGCAGAGCCTGCTTCCGATTCTGTATCTCCCTCTCTCTCTCTGCTCCTCCCCCACTTGTGCTCTGTCTCTGTCTCTCTCAAAAATAAATATTTTTTAAAAAGTTAAAAAATAAAAATAAAAAAAATAAAACCCAAGAGTAACAAAAAACATGTATTTGTAAATTTTTACTGCATTAAAATGTCCTGAAGCTCTCAGCAGTAGGGAAATCTCCCAAAGAGCTCTCTGTTTATTAACAAGCTCCTGGTTACAAAGCATAGAAATGTGTTCCTGGTTTCCTCCATTAAGCTTTCTCTTAAATTTCACCTTTAAAACTCCCTATCTTAAGACACACAGAATATACTTTGGAAATGAAATCTTAGCACCTCTCACCTTACAGCAAGGAGACTTTTCAATCTGAACACAAATTTACTTTAACACCTAGTTAATTCATTTTACCTACAGAACAGTTGTGACACATTACTGACCTTCAACATCATGCCAGCTTGCTCATAAGCTCTGCAAAGAGAATACAAGTTCTCAGATGAGATCTTAATGAAATAAGGAGGAGGGGAAACTTTCTACCACAGATAGAAGTTAGATCAACTAAAACTGGCTCAGGCACTATATGCTGCTTTAGGCCTTGAGTAACAGTTTTTTCTTCTTTTTATTTTTGAGGGCAATAATGCCTTGGAAACAACTGACATCTGAGTTAAAGGGATTTTATTTTGCAGATGCAAAATTAAGTAAAACTCAGACAGGTTAAAGGACTTTCTATGTGACAAAACTAAATCCAAGTTTTGCAACATGTACTCTCCACGAAAGCAGGAGAAAGCCTGCTTCTCTCCACAAGTACTATTAACTATCAAGGAAGAGGGGGGAAAACATACTTGTTTTTTCATAGGTCATTGAACAAAATGGCCCTAAAAATATTTGGTGAATTGAACTTAACCGCTGTAGGGGCGCCTGGGTGGCGCAGTCGGTTAAGCGTCCGACTTCAGCCAGGTCACGATCTCGCGGTCCGTGAGTTCGAGCCCCGCGTCAGGCTCTGGGCTGATGGCTCGGAGCCTGGAGCCTGTTTCCGATTCTGTGTCTCCCTCTCTCTCTGCCCCTCCCCCGTTCATGCTCTGTCTCTCTCTGTCCCAAAAATAAATAAACATTGAAAAAAAAAAAAATTTGAACTTAACCGCTGTATATCTTAGGAGTGACTCAGTTTCTAAGGGTCAGGTAAAGACTGAAACAAATGGAAATGATGATTTTATCTAAATCAATACAGAATAATTCACTATTTATGGATTTATAACGTAGGAAAAATTTACCGACCTATGGAAAAACAGCAACATTTAAAACATAAACTGCAAATACATGAAAACATGGAAAATATTTACTTACTTGGCAGCATGAAAAAGACTGAATGGATGTAACAAAGTTAAAATTAAGGAAAAAAACCAAATCAACAGTTTCTACAGATCTACCACTTAAAAAACGTCAACTGCCCCAGTTGGTTCCAAAAGACAAATCCTACAAACAGATGAAGCAGTAATTTTATGCCTATTGATGTCGCTTAAAACTACATAATTCACAAAAAACACTGAAAAAATAAAAATACCACATAGATTTTTAAGTTCTTTCCACTGCCCATTTATCTGTAAAGTTTCACTAAAATGCAAGGTTATTACAACCGCAATTTCAAAGTAGATAAAAAAGACACTTTTTACAGAGTAAATTTTCAAATACCTTAGAAAAATTTATTTAAACTACTCTTCTTTCAAATACCTAAGGAAGACTGTATTTTAAAAATTTCCACTACCTGCCTCACTCTTCAGCACCTGTGTATTTCCCTCACTTCAGCCCAAGTAAAACCACCATGAAGCAAATCCAGAAACAACAGAAATAAACTCTCAACTACGGTTCTGCAAAACAGTGTAAACATTATGAGAAGTCTCTGTAAATGCTCCCTCAGTTAAAAATGCAGAACTTTTCTAATCATTTTCTAACTTAATAGCATTGTTCTCTCCACACATAGCCAACTTATAACAAAACGAGTTTCAGTCTGTATCATTCTAATTCCCGAACTCCTTTGTAAAGGTTGAAAAAGATACGCCCTGTTATTCTCATGAGCAACAGCTTCTCTCAGGCAGGCATCTTTCGCTTGCTCAAACTGTTTGGCGTTTTTAAAAGCAACAGCTGAAACGGAACAACAACAAAGACAGACGTTCTAATCCATCATGACAAAACTTCCAACGAATCATTACTAAAATCTGTATCACGTGGGAAGTATTAGAAAATATACTTATTTTAATCAAACACCTAAGGAGTTTTATAAAACAGCACTTTTTAAAAAGCAATTTTCTTGTAACTTTTTTGATTACCAGTAACTTAGAAGTACTTTCAAAAGTTTGTTTTTGTTTTTGCTTTTTTTTAAATTGTAGACTACTGGCGATAAGTCAGTGCTACTTTCACTCAAAGCCAAGTCTTTTTAACACCTACTTTTTAACACCTTTATAAGGTACTGTCATAAAAGACAGTACCTTACTTCACCAGTTTTACAGTTAATAATAAAAACAGTGCTGTAGTTATAGCTAAGTCCATCTTTCAAGTTATTTAGAAACTGAAGACCAATAAACACATTCAATATTTGTGTAATAAACCCTCCTGTCACAATCTTTAAATAAATGCCCAAAACATTAACAATGCATGTCTTTTAAAGCTTTTACACTGTTCAGGTTTCTGTGAAAATGACATTTCTATTGTCCAAAGAGCTAAAATATATTGCTCACTGTTATAAAGTGTCATCAGAGTAAAACAATTAGGAATGGTCCTAAAATAGGATCTTACAGATTTTGGAAAACTTGTCAAGGGTTGCTTACAAATAAGTAAAAAAGGATACTGCTTAAAAAAAAAAAAAGTACTCGTTAAAATCAAACTCTTAAAATTCTCGTCAATAAAATGTTGAAAATAAAGTACCGAACTATTTTCATCCCTGGGCTTCCACATTTTGCTTTTTAAAAAAGTTATTCTAAGGATTAAATGTATTTTGCATAACCCCTTAAAGAAAAGAAACAAAGGATGATTTAATGGCAAAACAGGACCTGAAATACGTTATCTATGAAAGCAACTCATGGTCTCGGATGCATATAAAACAAATCCGTGTTAAATTTCCCTCAGGAGATTTGCAAAACGTTGTGCCCTCCACTTACAAAAGCATTCTTGTACAAGGTATCGACAGAATCCACACGAGGTTTGATTTTAATAATTGTTCTTTTAAGTATAACATAAATAACTGGCGTAAGTCAACAGAGAGAATTTACTCAGGATTTAAATGAAAGTGTTAAAGACTCATTAGTTCCTACTTATGAGATTTCTGCATTCTTTGGTGATATACTAAAACTAAAGTCTATCAAAAGCACATTACACAGGTGGTCTCTACATTCGGCTAACAAACGTGATCCAAGCTGTGGCTGCAACACAACTGCAAATGTATTCAGAGCACTTCAAAAACCGCATTAGGCTTTATATCCAAAATAATTGTGGATATGCCGAAATCTATCATTCCATAACTGAATGCTAAATTTTTGATAAAGTCCTTCTCTGTTGCATATTGCAGATCATTTTTATCTAATGTACAGATAAATTTATTCAAAGATTTATACAGCTTCATACTTCATGAACACTTATCAGTGTATCTCAAAAGCGCGGCTCTTAAAAAAACATGTGCCAAACAAACACAAGATTGGCAGATCTAATTCAGATTAAGGCTAAATTTTAAAAAGTTAAGAAAAAATTTTTTCAATTATAGGAAGCACAAGAGAGAGATACAGAAAAACTCCTGGAAGTAGCAAACAACTGACTGAAATTCAAGCATGTAAGAACAATGCAAAAACCCTGCAGCTATGTGCCACCAGCCCTCCCCATCTCTGCCGTCAGGACAGACAGCTGCAGGGAACTGGACCTCTCACTCAGTCCTCAACACATCTGAAAATAACAAGTGAGAACAAAGCAAGGGTTTGGGCAGGTTTATTTTTTTGTTGTTTTTTAGTTTTTTTAACTATTAAAATCTTACAGAGAGCATCGAGTGTTAAGTACTTTGCCGAGAAGTTACCAGCCTATGTTAAGATTACATGTTGGAGTTACAAGGCTACGGTCACACATACCTGCTTTTCCATATTCAGAAGCGGCACTGTCATAATCTGGCTTCCATTTTAAAAAACCAGTTTTCAGGCTAAAATGAAATGAAGACACAAGTTACCAACTACATGTGTAAGTCAGAACCCTGCTTTAATAACTTTATAGGTGATTTTAAAAAACCAACAACAGGGTGCCTGGATGGCTCAATCGGTTAAGCGTCCGACTTGATCAGGTCATGATCTCACAGTTCGTGGGTTCGAGCCCCATGTCAGGCCTGTGCTGACAGCTCAGAGCCTGGAGCATGCTTTGGATTCTGTCTCCCTCTCTCTTTGCCCCTCCTCTGTTCATGCTCTCTCCCTCTCTCAAAAATAAACAAACATTAAAAAAAACAAACAAACCGGCATTTATCTTCTTACCCAGCTGCCTTCTTGGGCTGCTCCAAGGAACAAATCCAAGCACATCTGGTAGAGGGTCCAAATTATTACTACCAGTAGGGTAATAAAATAACCAAGGACACGAAAATAGAGATCAAGTAACAATCTCCAGAAAAACACCTCCTGAAGGGCCAGACCCTGGACAGTGTACCACCCTCCTTTAATATAGCAGTGCTCACAGGTGCAGAGCACACAACAAGCTTTTAAAACGCATAAGGGACAGAAAAGTGGCCAAAATGGCGAAACAGAAGAATTCTCCTCAAAAGAAATGCCAGGAAATAGCAACAGCTAATGAATTGATCAAAACTGATTTAAGCAATATAACAGAACAAGAATTTAGAGTAATAGTCATAAAATTAATCCCTGGGCTTGAAAAAAGCATAGAGGACAGCAGAGAATCTATTGCTACAGAGATCAAGGGACTACAAACTAATCATGATGAATTAAAAAATGCAATAAATGAGGTGCAAAATAAAATGGAGGTG